ACTTAGTAAAGTAGTCTGTAGCCAGCAACACATACTTGTTCCGAGCTCTGGCAGTTGGTAGAGGACCAACTACATCCATCCCCCATTGCGCGAAAGGCCATGGTGTGGCCATTACATGCAAGTCTTCAGGCGGTTGGTGAATCAGTGGTCCAAACCTTTGGCACTTATCGCACCTTCTGGACAATTCTTCCGAATCTCGCGATATGTTTGGCCAGAAGTACCCTTGAGCCATTGCTTTGTGTGCTAATGATCTCCCCCCTGAGTGGTTTCCACATACACCTTTATGAATAGCTCGTAATATTTGCCGAGCCTCTGTGGGGGTAACGCACTTTAAGTACGGTCCAGAAAAGGATCTTCTGTATAACTGGTTATGCACAATAGCGTACTTTGCAGCATTCGCTTTGATTTTCCTAGCCTCATTTCTTTGTTCAGGCAGAGTACCATCTCGGATGTAAGTTATGATCGGATCAATCCAACTTGGCTCATATGGAATAACATTCACTTGCCAAGGATCTGAGCCTGAAGGCTCTTCAAAAATGGATGGCTGGTTTAATATTCCCACTGGAACCACCCTTGCCAATGTTTCTCCAGAACCCGAGGCGCTACATGCTAGCTTGTCGGCATCTCCATTACACTCCCTCGGAATTTGAATGAATTCAATTTTTTCAAAGTTCTGTGCTTCCCGCATAACAGCAGAACGATATGCATCCATCGTTTCATCCTTGGTTTCATACTCACCCCTCACCTACCAAATGGCTAACTGTGAGTCACTGAAAACATTCAAATTCCTGACCTTAAGTTCTTTGGCAAGCTTTATTCCTACCAGCAACGCTTCATATTCTGCCTCATTGTTCGTGGCTGCGAACTCAAGCCGGAGCGCATGGCTTAAGGCTGTACCTTCTGGCGTCTGCAGCTTGATCCCAATGCCTGCACCCATCTGATTTGAGGATTCATCAACGAAGAGTTTCCATAAGCACTTACAAAGATCCTCCTCCACGTCTTCTGAATCACATTCTAGTAAAAAATCTGCCATCGCCTGCCCTTTGACTGCTGTTCTAGGTTCGTATGTGATATTAAATGAGCTTAACTCTATGGCCCACTTCGTCATTCTTCCGGAGAGATCTGGTTTGTGCAGGATTATTCTGATAGGAAAAGTGGTTAGAACGATAATAGGATGGGAATCAAAATAATGCCTGAGTTTTCTTTTCGCGTGCACTAGCGAGAGTATCACCCGCTCTGCCTTTGAATAACGTCTTTCGGCCTCAGTCATTGTTTTACTAACATAGAACACTGGATATTGCTTCCCTTCTGCGTAGCGGATTAGAACGCCACTTGTTGCGATGCTGGATACTCCGAGATACAAAAACAGCTTTTCACCCGACTCTGGAGCTGACAGTACCGGAAGGTTCTGCATATATTTTTTCAGAGCAGTTAACGCTAGGCGTTGTTCATCTCCCCAAACCTGTCTGCCGTGGCTTTGGATTGTGTCAAAAAATGGTTTGCATCGATCTGACAATTTGGAAATGAAACGGCTCAGTGCAGCAATCCGTCCCGTAAGTGTTTGCACCTCTTTGATTGTCGTCGGCTCGGCATTCTTAGTCAGAGCATCTGCTTGGGCAGGGCTTGCCTCGATGCCTCTAAGATTAACCACGTGCCCTAGGAATTGGCCTGAACTTACACCGAACGAGCACTTGGTCGGATTGAGCTTCATTCCATACCGCCGCAAAACATCAAACACGCCTCGAAGATGCTGCATATGATCGGCTTTCTTCTTACTTTTGACCACCATATCATCAATGTAAGCCTCCACTGTCTTCCCTATTTGTTCCTTAAAAATCTTGCTAATAAGTCTTTGGTAAGTTGCCCCGGCGTTCTTTAGTCCAAACGGCATAACTTTGTAACAATACGTCTCGCGTTCAGTAACGAAAGAAGTTTTTTCTTCATCAGCGGGGTCCATGGGGATCTGATTATAACCCGAATAAGCATCTAAAAAGGTCAGGCGTTCATATCCAGTTGTTGCATCCACCATCTGATCAATCTTTGGCAGCGGGAAGCTATCCTTCGGACAAGCTTTGTTTAAATTGGTAAAATCAATGCACATGCGCCATTTCCCATTTTTCTTTTGCACAACGACCACATTCGATAGCCAGTCGGGGTAGTGCACTTCTCTTACGAACCCCGCATCAAGTAGCCTATCAACTTCCTTGGCAATAATTCGGTTGGGCTCAGGGGCAAACCGTCGCTGCTTCTATTTTACAGGTTTTGCATTGGGATTAACGTTCAAGGAATGACAAGATACCGAAGGATCGATCCCGGGCATGTCCAGGTGACTCCATGCGAACACATCTACGTTTTAAGACAAAAAATCAACTAATTCCTGCTTTTCCTCCTCAACGAGTCGTTCCCCTACTCTGGTTGTCCGTTCCGGTCGGAACTGATCGATCTGCACATCAAGCAAGGGTTCTTTGGTCAAACCCTCTGGTTCCTCCTCTCCGTTCTGCCTGGAGGGAGGCTCCTGTAATTGCTATCTCGGACTTACTGAATGAATGGGAGCTTTCCCCTTTCCGGCATGTTTCAGCGTTACAGAGTAACATTCTTTAGCTGCAACTTGGTCTCCATGAATGTCAATCACTTTGGTTCCATCTGGTGCCAGGCATCTCATTACCTGATGCAGAGTGGAAGGAACACCTCGAACCCTGTGGATCCACCCTCTGCCCATCAGAAGATTGTAAGAGGGATGAATTTCAACAACTACAAAGGTTTTCATCAAAACCCTCTCGGCAGCATGTACCGCTACCTCCACCGTGCCGACGGGCTCCACTCGCTTTCCATCAAACCCTACTAGTGGATTCCCGGTGGATTTCAGCTAATTTTGTTTGATCTCGAGCCGATCGAATGTATCTCTTGGCATGATGTTCGCACTACTTCCAGGGTCAATTAGAACTCTGCGCATCAAACATTTAGCCGTCTGTTCGAGAGGTTGCCTGATTGGCAAAGGAGGTCGGAACTTATCTTTATTTTCTTGGTACAGTCTTGCTAGGGTAACTTTTAATGGAGTAATCAGCTCTTCCTCTCTGGGCCTCTTCTCAGATTTCCACGAGGAACGTTGCAGTTGGACCTATTTTTGCCTAATCTTTGCTTTGGTCTTTTCTTCCGTGGATATAACGGATGTCTTCCGAGCGTTTGCCGCCTCTTCTTCTTCCAAGCGCACAAATCTATCGGCTCTTTCGTTGAGTTCATCCATAGTCCTCGGCGTGTTGACCACCAAACTCGTGTGGAACGGGGTGCCACGATTCATAGCCAGAATGAATGCTTTAACTGCCGTTGAAGGGTGGCATTCAATAACCATGCTCTTGGTAAGGTTAACCTGGTTAGGAAAGCCTGGAGACGATCTTCAGCGTGTTGCTTCATTATGAATAAGCTCGAAATATCTTTCGCTGGACGCTTGTTTCCATAGTATTGGCTTATGAACCGATCGCACAGGCTTCGGAAACTATCCACCGAACCCCTCGGCAGGTTCTTGAACCAATTCAGAGCTAGTTCGGCTAGACTCGTAGGAAAGCACTTGCACATCAAAGAATCATTCTCAGTGTTTAAAGCCATTTTCAGCTGGATGTGATACACATGATCAATCGGATCAGTCGTTCCGTCGAATAGAATGAAAATGGGCATGGAAAATTTTCTCGGACTCGGAGCATTCAGAATCTCATCGGTGAACGGTGAATCCACCGTTCTAGCTGCTGAATAGAGTGCTTCATTTTCCCTCTGGAATCCCGCGGCTGCTCTCTGGTCTACTGATCTCCTCTCTGAGCTGTGATAGTCGAACGTCGTCATGAAAGGCCGGTAGGTCGGATCGAATGATCTATCCTCAACAAAGTCCTTGCGCCATGGAGGCATAGCTTTCTGACGAATCAATTCTGTTGCTTCACCTCGGCTGAGCGTTTCTTGATGTGGATCAAAAGTCATCGCTTCGTTTCGCCTGATCTGCTCACGCCGTGGATCCATGTGAATCGATCCTTCACGATCATCCATACGACGAAGATTTGGCGGCAGACCGTCTCGCCGGATTTCCTCCCGGTGAGGATTAACTAGATTGTTTTCAACCTCTTCACCGTGATGTGCTGCATCAGTACGTGCACCTTCTTCGCCTACTGGAAGTGGTCGTGGAATTATTGGAGCTTCTTGACGCTGTATTTCATTCCTTAGATCTGCATTTTCTCTCCGGAGAGCTTCGATCATGTTCATTAACTCATCGAGTTTCACTTGCTGGATGTTCTCAACCGTATTAGAGTTGTCACCCCCTATCATGATTCCGGATCGAAGCAAAGGCATGAATTACGAACTTCGAAACAGATCTAAGCGTTACCGATGCAAACTCCGCTAGATCTGGGCTTAATTTTACCGAATCGTGATCGCTGTTTGCTAGATCTGAACTTTTCTAGCTTCAAACTTGTCGGATCTGACTGCAACTGAGCAAATCGCAATTACGTCCTTCCAAAGCAAATGCCTCAGAATCCACAATAATCAAGAATTCTCTCGGAGCAAACTACAATCTCACTGATCTGGATTCAACTTCCAGAAGTCACACTGCATATTCACAAACTCGATTGAACTAATATGGTACTGATCGGGCTTGAATTGATCTTCGTCCTCAGTTCCCACAGACGGCGCCAATTGAAGATACAAGATTCTGTTTCATCTCTCTCACTCTTACTTTCTCTCTCTCTCTTACTTTCTCTCTCCCTCCCTAGCTTCCACCCGTCATAGTCTATTTATAGGCCATGACCCTCTTTTGCAGTTAACCAATTACATTGGGCTTATAGCCCAAAGTTCTCTTCCTTCTGGGCTGGGTCTTGTAATGGGCTTGACCTTCCTCGGTGGACCCCCCACGTTCAGCCCACTCCAGGGTGCTTTGGCATGGATCCTTCTTCAATCATTCGACCCGATCTCGTTTCCGCGATTCATATCCGGCCCATGCCACTTGCCGCATCCTCAAGTATATGCGCCCACCCAACGAAGCCGACATAGCACGGTTGCTTGAAAAAGGGGAGCAGAGAGGTTTTCCGGGTATGCTTGGTTTTATCGACTGTATGCACTGGGAGTGGAAGAATTGCCCAGTGGAGTGGCAAGGCACACATAGGGGACGATCTGGTAAGAATACTCTCGTATTGGAAGCAGTTGCCTCACAAGATTTGTGGATCTGGCATGCATTATTCGGAATGCCGGGTTCACACAATGATATAAATGTGTTGGATCATTCCTCGGTATTCAACGGCATCATCAATGGCCAATTACCTCCGGTTAATTATGTAGTGAATGGACATCACGGTAAAATGGGGTATTACCTATCTGATGATATATACCCTAAGTGGGAAACTTTGATACAAACCATCCCGCACCCAACCACTATAAAAGAAAAATTATTTGCTTAGCGACAAGAGGCAGCAAGAAAAGATGTGGAACGGGCTTTTGGGGTATTGTAGATCAAGTGGGCAATAACGCAAGGGCCAGTGCGTTACTGGGAGAAAGATGACTTGCGCCTCATAATGAAAACGTGCATCATCCTTCACAATATGATCATTGAAGATGAGCGTCATGCAAATGTTGGAAGATGGACTCCGCCACCGGAGGATGCAATCCCGATTCCCACTTTAAGTCGATGCCCATCAGTTTTAGCGGCACACATATCCTCTCGCCAACTTCAGATTCACAACAAAGAGACAAATACGCGGTTGAGGAATGATTTGATGGAAAATTTGTGGAACCGCTATGCTGATGAAGATGTTTAATTTATGTTGCATTTTATTTCCTTTTAAGATGTTATGACATTTCGTGTACCAGAACTTTTATTATGTAATGGTTTTATAAGATTAAAAATAATGAATTGGAATAAGAAAATAAGTATTAGAAAATTCTATGGGAATAAGTAGATGAATTTGTAATTTTAATTTTTTCTTTTTACAAAAAGTGTTAAAAAAAAAGTTTTTTTATTTATTTTTGGCCAAAATAAATAAGGATTACAAAATAAGGATTAAAAATAATGAATTGGAATAAGAAAATAAGGATTACAATTTAAAGCAAAAAAAAAAAAAAAAAAAAAAAAAAAAAAAAAAAAACAAAACAAAACAAAACAAATTTTAAGGAAAAAAAACAAAAGCTTTTTGAATTTATTTTTGGCCCAAATAAATTTCAACTTTAAGGATTACAAAATAAGGATTAAAAATAATGAATTGGAATAAGAAAATAAGGATTATAATTTAAAGCCAAAAAAAATTAAAAAAAGAACAAATTTTAAGGGAAAAAAACCAAAAAAACAAAAGCTTTTTGAATTTTTTTTTGGCCCAAATAAATTTTTTTTTTTCGATAAATAGTGCCTAAACAGTATATTTTTTATTTAATGAATTTTATTTTATTTTTTTCCCAAAAAAAAGAGCTCATTTGAACCTATTTTTAGGTTTTTTTTTTTTTAAAAAATCTGCCTTTGGTGCACTGTTACACCACTGTTACAAAGTGGCAAAAGAAAGGCAACCAAACGGCGCCGTTTTGAACCCATAAAAAAATAAAAATAAAAATGCCCCGATTGCGGGCTAGCTCGCGGTCCTACCATTTTGAAGAGGCCGTTGGAGGACCAAAAGCAGGTTTGGCTCGCGGAATAAGGCTTCCGCTAGTGGGCTGCGGATGCTCTTACGCGGTATATGTCAGCCTTCACTGAAATTACCCAAATGCCCACTGTTTTGAAGGTTTGATAACTACATATAAAATATACAATACGAAGATTAACCTCCACTTAATAGATCGGAAGCAATGAGATTTCTACTAATATTGCTGCCGCTATTGATGCTGTTGGTGACGGAGTTAGCAGCAAATACAACAATTCCTTCAACAACTCTTGCCAAGCCCGGTTGCTCACACAGCTGTGGCCATCTTTCCATTCCATACCCGTTCGGCACCACTAAAAGTTGTTCCCTAAATGCGTCGTTCCAGATAACATGTAAAAATGACTCAAAACCATTTTTGTTCACAAATAGTATTTACAACCCCTTTTATCGTTTAAAGGATGGCTTAACTGTCCTTAACATATCACTTAATGGAGAGTTGCGAGTCTCAAATTGGGTCAATCGACCAATTGTGTTTGATTGGGCGGTTGGCTCTGAGACATGTGACGAAGCCAGAAAGAATTTGAGCAGTTATGCATGTGGGAAGAATAGCATATGCTATAATTCCACTTATGGCTCAGGGTATCGCTGCAACTGTTCTAAAGGTTATGATGGGAATCCTTACCTTCCAAATGGTTGCCAAGGTATATATGCAACACTTTCATATACATCTTCATATTGTTGTTCTCTTTAATTCTTTCTTCTTCTTTTTCGGAAAAAGAAAAAAGAAGGAACAAAAAATAGTTTAATTTTGTTTGAATTGTTCACAGATATTAACGAGTGCTTGAATCCAAAGCTCAATCCCTGTACAAACGTTTGTCACAAAATAGATGGGAGTTATATTTGTTCTTGCCCAAAAGGACATCACGGGGATGGTGAAAAACATGGCGAGGGTTGCATTCCAAATAGATTGTGGTTAAAGTTCCTAATTGGTAAGAGTAAATATTTTGAAACTTGAATATAGTTTCCCTAAAAACTGTGGTGAAAGTTTGTGAAATACTGTTATTTATTTATTTATTTATTTTTTGACCAAAAAAAAAAAAAAAAATCTCAGTTGAATTGCTTGCCAAGTAGAGTATACTTGACCGGTCACTACATTTCAATCCCAATATTAGTTACTTTATTGCTCTGCAATTAATTGAAGTGCCTTAATTTGATCGTAGGTGCTGCCATTATAGCATTTGCATTACATGTGACATGTCCTTTGTTACATTGGGGAATCAAGTGGAGAATAAAGAACATGAAACAGAGAGAGAAACTTTTTCAGCAAAATGGTGGTTTGATGATAAAAGAAAAACTCTCGAAGTTAGATGGTTTAGTTGAGAAAGCCAAAATTTTTAGCATAGAAGAGCTCCAAAAGGCAACTAATTACTTTGACGAAAGTGAAATCATTGGTCGAGGAGGGTTTGGTACCGTTTACAAAGGAGTTCTACCCCAAAATAAGGTAGTTGCCATCAAAAAGTCCACAATAGTTGATGAAAGCCAAATTGAACAATTTGTTAACGAGGTAGTTGTACTTTCCCAAATCAACCATAGAAATGTGGTAAAATTATTGGGTTGTTGTTTAGAGACTGAAATTCCCTTGCTAATTTATGAATTCATTACCAATGGAACACTATACCACCATCTACATCAGGTAAGACATGCCTCATTAATAACATGGGAAATTCGTCTAAGGATAGCCAAAGAAGCTGCAGGAGCGCTTGCCTATTTGCACTCTGCAACTTCTATTCCAATCATTCACAGAGACATCAAATCTACTAACATACTTTTAGACGATAATTTCACTGCAAAAGTCTCTGATTTTGGAGCTGCAAGATTAGTTCCATTGGATAAAACACAGTTGACTACAATGGTTCAAGGAACGTTTGGTTACTTAGACCCTGAATATTTTCACACAAGCCAGTTATCCGAGAAAAGTGATGCATATAGCTTTGGAGTGCTCCTTGTGGAGTTACTTACCGGTAGAAAGGCACTTTGTTTTGACAGGCCAGAGAAAGAGAGACACTTGGCCACGTATTTCCTTTCTTCAATAAGAGAGAATCGCTTGTCCTTAATCCTAGACGACCGAATCGTGAATGAAGGAAATGCAGATGAGATGCGTCAAGTTGCAAACATTGCACAAAATTGCCTCCGGTTGAAAGGAGACAAACGACCTACAATGAGAGAAGTGGCAATGGAGCTCGAGGGAGTCGCAAGAGTGGAGAAACACCTTTGGACTACCATCGAAATGAATTATGACGTGACCGAATTCTCACTACGTGACTCCTTGAGATTTCATAGCATCACAGCTAGATCCGATGGTGTGAAGAACCAAGACAGAATACCTTCAAAGGTCGATGATGATGGCTCTCTAGTGTCATGCACCAATTCGAATAGAGCAATGATAAGGGTGTCGATACAATCAACTGAAAATGCAAGCCAAGTATATCTACGATCATCTGATGCACTTAAGTGGGACACAATTTGATGCACTTAAGCGCAGAAGATGTGTTTCCCACTTAGTGTTGCTTGGATGACCTTAGAGATAGTCCTGTTTTAGTTGATGATTGTTTGAAACAATCATTTTTTATTTGAGGTATTTTTAATTAGTGTGTGATTTAACTTTTACATACTTTCTTAATGTAGCAAGAATGTTATCATATTAAATCTGAAAGACTGCTGCTGCTGCCAGAAGATTTGGTTTTTATTGGGCCCTCTCTTTTTGTTCTTAAACCTCCTCCTCATTCACCTATGATCCAAATAGTATTGGGTACTGGTTGGCAAAGAGTGGTTTTCTTATAATAGCCTCTGTTTGGTGGACTTGGGCTTTCATTGTAATGGGTTAATTTCCAATGCTGATCTTGGTATGTTTTTGTGTTGGGCCTGCTCTATAATGGTTAGTTCCTGGCTCTTGTAGATCTACTTTTGGGGTTTTGAACTTTGGCTTATGGTTGACCAATAATTTTTGTCAAGTCTGGTCCCTTAGCTTCATACACATACTTCTATTTATACAATTGTTTAAATTTTAGAAAAATAAATAAATAAATATAAAATTTAGAAAAAAATATAAATAAATACTACCTCAATCCCAAATTACATGTCCTGTTTGGGGAACCTTGATTCATTATGAGTCAGGGTTCCCTAAACAGGATATCTTTATTGGGACAAAGGGAGTATAATATAAGAAAACGTTATTTTTAGAGTATGATAACTATTGATATTTGCATACTAATTGTGAGACCTCCCAAACTTCTAGGACAAGGTTTTGAGATTGATTGAGAAAAAAGAAAGAAAAAGCAAATTAAGTAAATTAAAATGATTCTATTAAATATAGGGAAAATTACATATAAATGGAGTCAAAGTTCCATATTTACTTAGAGAATGAGTCAAAGTTCCATATTTCTCTAAAATGGATTGCTGAGGTGGCACATGGTTTTTTACTGTTTAAAAAATTGTGGTGCCTAAAATGCCCTTCCTTAACAAAAAAAGTAGTACCTTCAGTTCAAAAAAGTAGTACCTTCAGTTCAAAAAAATAGTACTTTCGGAGAAAAAGTAGTACCTTCGCGGGTGTTTAAAAAACATGGTACCTGGACGCCAAAAAGTAGTACCTTCAGTTCAAAAAAGTAGTACCTTCGAAGAAAAAGTAGTACCTTCGCGGAAGGGTATTTTAGACACCACAATTTCTAAACAGTAAAAAACCATGTGCCACCTCAGTAATCCATTTTAAAGAAATATGGAACTTTGACTCAGCCTCTAAGTAAATATGGAATTTTGACTCCATTTATATGTAATTTTCCTTTAAATATAACTTAATACTTTTTAATATATAATTAAATTTATTTATATTAAAATATTTCTATCAGCTTCATCCAATTTATTTATTGAAGCTCACTTTTTAAAAAATAAAAAATAAAAATAACAACACCACCATATAAGTTTAGGATGAAATGAAAAGGGGAAATTCAATGCGCAAGCTTATGTCATCGTGTGGACTGGAATCTAGAAAAAAACACATAAAAATAACAGCCATCACCTTACGATGAAATGGAAAGGATCCAAAACCCAGATGTACACCATCTTACTTCTTTGTTCCGCGAAAACCCAGCCCCATAAATCATTGAAATGCCAGTAAAAGCTCCTTGGTATCGCAGCAATTGTCAAGGCTATCTTCCAAATGGTTACCAAGGTAGATATATACGTAGTGCATAATACGTTCATATTACCAGTAAAAATCTCTAATAGATAACGATGAACACGATGTTCAAGTTCAACCCACATGAATATGTTTATTGGTCACTTTTTTATTTATTAAAATTGTATGCAGATATAGATGAGTGCTATTGACTTCTGGGCTCAATTTATATGGTCAAATATTTGTCATAACAGAGATGGGAATTTTACATGTTCTTGCCCAAAGTGGCGATGGTAGAAAGATGGAGTGGGTTGCATTTCTGATCCAGTATGGAATAATATCACTGTCGGTAAGTATAATTCTGATCATGAATGTAATTTTTTTTTTTTAAGTTCAAGCAAAGAGGCACACGCTCACAATAATTGTTAGTTAGCCGGGCTCTGACAGTCGATCTCACCTGAAGATCTCACCTGAAGAGAGATCATACCATCTGAATTAATGCCTATTATTGTGATAATAAATATCATGGTAAGAAACTTGGGGATAAATAGGAGCTATTGAAACACAAAGAATGTTTTTGACACTAATAGTTAAACTTGAAAAACTAAAATTAATGTAAATGCCCATCTAATATCTAATGACAGAAAAACGGTCCTCCAAAGTGGAAGAGTGATGGTCCAAGTCTATGTAAACTCCAAAAATATTTTTGGTCTGTGAATTTGTTGCCAAGGTAAAAGAAAAAAAAGGTTCCCCAATTGTTCGCTCCTTTGCTTCTGTCACTACAGTAATTTATTAGATAGTCCTTAAAGAAGCTTTCATTTTTTTTTTTTTTTTTTTTTTTTTTGGGTGTTTACTACTTCATTTAAAGCTTAAATTTGGAAAATAATAAAGAAATGATATTGTCACTCCAAAAATAAGTCTAGGACACTTCACTTCTATTTTGCTTTTACAAGTTGCCCTGTCCAGAAAAAAAATAACTTCCTAGTCTTTCAAAACGTTCAAGTCGTTAAATGAGCACAAATGGCTGTTTTATTAACCATCTTTTGATCGGTTGATCAACTATACATCAACCTTCGCAATAGCACCAATCATTGTAAAATAGGGCTATTGGTCGGGTAAGTCGAACCACTGGGACTGCGCTAGTTTAAGGCAACCTAAGCGTCTAGAATCGTTTTAGAATGATAAGGGGGAATAGGGTTTTTGCTTGGTTTGTCACTAAAGCTATGAAATTAAGATGCATAAAATAGTAGATTGCAAGGAATATAAAGAGGTGAAATGCAAGTAGAGAAGACTAGGGAGATGAATCCGTCTCCATCCCTATACACATGCTAGATTAGAACTAATTAAGGGGAAAAATAACATATAATGGTCAAGAATTACATAACAACACATGGTTGCCATGTAATTGATCAAGAAGGACATTAAGTCTCAAACAAGTATAATCTATCAAAAGGGTAAACATGCTTAGACTACCTAACTAAAGTGTAGCTTATACACATTTACTTAAATGAAAGACTATCAAGTTCTTGACAAAATGATGAAGCACATGGAGCTAGAGATTAAGAATACACCATCAAAGGATTTCCTAAGCAATGGTCTATCAAAGTCACCTATCAACATGCCATGAAACCATTTCATAACCTTGTTCCCATTCTCACCATGAAAAGTCAAGCAATAAGATTCATACAAGACATCACCTAACAATCAAGATAATGAACTTGAAGAAATCAACCATACATATATAAACATTCATTACAACAAATGAAAGGCTCTTAGTTATGAAAAAGACCATAGAAATATACATTGCAATCCCCCAAAATAGACTACCCTAGGACATGCTTACAAGGGAGGGACTTCATCACCTCCCTAGAAGAAGAGTTAGTTACCCATTGGAGCCTTAGAATGAAGAAGAAGCTTGAACTCCATCTCCAATTTTCGAGCTCCCTCCTTTAAGCTTCAAGAACCCCTTCTTTTCTTGCTCTCTTCTCTCCCTCTATCTTGCAAAAATTCCAGGATAGGATGCATGTGGCCCTTAGTTGCCTTATATCTATCAACTAAGCTCTCTCTCTCCTCCAAAGACATTCCCAACCACTCCATAAAGAAGGAGGGTGGAAATGTGGAAACCAATGCACAAGTGGGCTGAAGAGGGGTTCATTTCCGAGCTGCAATCTGGCTGATTTTCGAGCACTCTAAATTAGTGCAATGTGCAACATGCTCTTCTTGCTCAGCACTGACCTACTTTCGTAAAACTGCTATAACTTTGTGCCCCGAACTCCGAATGATGATCTGTTTGAAGATTTGGAGAGCTGATTCAGTGCTTCAAAAACTTCATGTTTTGATGAAGACCCAATTCTCAAGTCTGGTTGGTCGAAAATGGGGAGAAAGGCAGTACTTCAGTGCTGCCAGGCAGTTCTGCGCACCTCTGTTAAGAAGATCATAACTCTCTGTTCCGAACTCCGAATGATGAACCGCTTGAAGATTTGGAAAGCTGATTCAGAGCTCTAAATCTTTCATGTTATGATGGAAGTCCAGTTCTTGAGTTTTCTAGGTCAAAAATGGCGACAAAAGTCAGGTTCTACCGCTGCCAGAAATTCAGAATTGGCACCCTTTTTGTTCATAATTCCACAAGGCATCATTTTTGCTTCCTTTTTGCACTTTAAGCTGAAAATGCACAAAAACATGCAAATGGAGTTAATCTACATAAAATAATCAATTAATGGACTTTGTTAATGTAATTTAGGGCGCCTGAATATACAGTATTCAGCGCTTATCATCTTTGTTCGTACAACTCGGTTACAACTCATATTTCATTTCCATTATTTTTTCTTTTTTCTGTCTCATAGTCGTATGTATTGTTTATTGTTTAATTATTTTAGTTGGTAAGATCGGCTTGATGTAGTCCCCTGAAGTACAAAGACTCGATATTTCCAAAGTACATATTGTTGGAAAGCAGAAGATTTATTGCCTCCATTGGTGGATTCGTTAGGAGTGTATTTTATGTCTATCATTGACTTTCCTAGAATCATGGGATAATAAGTTAGAGAATCCCTCTAATATAGAAATTCATTCTAATTCATTTTTTAGGAAAGTTATGAAGGTTAGTATCCTATTTTATCGTCCTGTGATTAGCTTTATACAAACTGTAATTTGTGTATATAAGCCTTGTATTGGCTTTCTTAAATGATATACAATCTTAATTTTTTTCTCCTAAATTTGTCATGGTATCAGAGCACTAGGCTCTTTTCTGGGAATCACATAGTCTCTTCAGCCTTAATTGCCAAAGAGATATTGCTTTTTCTTCTTATCTTTTTTCTGGAAACACCCTGGCCTTCATTGCCATTTTTCTTTGAGTTTATTCTTTTCTTAAATCCAATCCAATATGTCTGAGACTAAATCATCTTCTGAGGAAGTCATCTTGCATCAAGCATCTGGTGATCTACAGAACATTCAGGTGGCATACAAACTGAATGGGAAGAATTTTTTGAAGTGGTCCCGATTTGTTTAAACATATTTGAAGGGAAAAGGGAAGCTCAGCCATTTCCTAGGAACGGGTCCAAAGAAAGGAGATCCAAAGT